GCAGAGGCAAGGAGGGGGAGGAGGGAGGAGGGGGGAGGAGGGCGGGAGGCGACGCGGGGCGCTGTCTCGCTGTCTTTTCAAAACGAGGACCCAACACCACAGGGTGGTTGGGAAAATCGTTATGTCGGCCGTCAGGGCCCCCCCAAGTCGACGACGTCGACGGCGATATTGTTTTCAGTGAGCTCGTTGCCGCCATCCCATTGCATGCGTTCCATCACATGTAGGCATTTGGCCGAATAGCGCTCGGGCAGGAGCGCGTGCTGTGACGACGCCCAAATCTGAAGGGTCCAGTGTGGTCGATCCGCCCCGTCTTCGCGGCTGAGAGGCGGGGGAGCAGAAGGAGGAGGAGCAGGACGAGGAGGAGCAGGACGAGGAGGAGGAGGATGAGAAGGATGAGGCGGAGGAGGATGAGAAGGAGGAGGTGGAGGAGGAGGAGGAGGAGGAGGAGGAAGGGGCATGAGGGAAAGGGAGGAGGAGGAGAAAGAACCAGACCGAGAAGCTTGGTATGCTTCCGCGATGCTGCGGCGGGGGGTCCTCACGTTCAGGCGTTCTGCGGGTCCGCGGGGTTTAGCGCCGGTAGGGCCGCCGCTGGCTGCCCCTGCCTGGGATCGGTTGCCCCTTGAGTGCTGGGGGCTGCCCTTCCTTGGCCCCCCCGCGCAGAAGAGAGAGAAGGAGGAAGAGGGGGAGGAGGAGGAGGAGGAGGAGGAGGAGGAGGAGGAGGAGGAGGAGGAGGAGGAGGAGGAGGAGGAGGAGGAGGAGAAGAGGGAGGAGGAGGAGGACGATGAGGAGGAGAAGGAGGAGGAACAGTGTAAACCCAAGACCCATCAAGGATGTTGCACTGAACCCTCCATCCAAGTTCCCTCTTCACAGGCTCCTATAAGGATTTTTTCACTGCGGGAAGCGCCTCGTTGAAGACAACCGTTGGAAGATCTACAGCTGTGCCAATGCACGTTGTTGGGACTTCCACGCCACGAATCAACGTTACCGTTGCGACCTGTCGATCCTAAATCGCACCGGCGCGCCATTTCTGGGACGTCAGCACCGCAAATCAATCTGACCCTGCGCCCTGCCAATCCAAAATCGTGTCAAAACTATTCTGGAACGTCAACCACAATAATCCGTGAAACTGTTGTAAACTAGTAGAACGAATGTGCGGGGCGCTATAGCGAGAACCACATGTTGAAAAGGGGCCGCCCTCCATCCGTGAAACCCTTGCACACATTCAAAGCGAATGTGCGCGGCGCTAAGGTGATGACCGCATCTTGAAAAGGGCCCACCTCTATCCGTGAAGCTCTTGCAACAACTTTTATCATGATGTGCGCGGCGCTAAACCGAGAACCATATCTTGAAGACGGCCCGACATCAAGTCGTGAAGCTCTTGCAAACTTTTCGACCAATGTGCGCGGCGATCAGGCGAGAGCCACACTCAGACAACAACCGACGAATGTGCGCGGCGCTACGGCGAGAGCCGCAATTTGAAAACCGCCCGCACTATATGTATAAAACTGTGACACATTCCACACTTCATGATCATATGCATGGTGAGGAAATCTCAAGCGAAGCACCCGGCCCGCCCTACCGACCCGTCTCGGGGTGCGACAGGGATGATTTATTCATAAGGAAGAGAGCGAGGGATGGACAGGAGGAGGAGGAGGAGGAGGAAGCGGAGGAGGCGAAGGAGGATGATGAGGAGGAGGAAGAGGAGGAGGGGGAGGAGGAAGAGGAGGAGGAGGAGGGGATGGAGGAGGCGGAAGAGGAGGAGGAGGAGGAGGAGGAGGAGGAGGAGGAGGAGGAAGAGGAGGAGGAGGAGGAGGCGGAGTAGGAGGGGAAAGCCAGGAGCCGATGATATAGCAATGTCGTTCTCTCAAGGAGGGCTGATCCAGTATTCGTCCTTTTCCTTGTCCCACTGCAACGCACGTGGTGGAGGAAGAGCGCGAGGAGCATGAGGAGTAGCATGAGAAGGGGGAGGAGGAGGCTGACGAGGAGTGGGAGGGGAGGGATGAGGAGGAAGGCGGCGTAGGAGGCGGCGGAGGGGAAAGCAAAGGGCCGATGATACAGCACTGTCGTCCTTTCATGGAGGGTCGATCCAGTAACCGTCCTTTCCTTGCTCCCCTGCCATGCACGTGGAATGAAGAGGGGGAGGAGGGGGAAGATGAAGGAGGAGGGGGACCAGGAGGGGGAGAAGAAGGGGGAGGCTGGAGGAGGAGGAGGAGGAGGAGGAGGGAGGAGGGAGGAGGAGAGGAGGAGGAGGAAGAAGAGAACGACGACGACGACGCCGCCGCCGCCGCCGCCGCCCATGACCGCCGCCGCCGACCTGCCCCGCGGCACGGCTGCCTGAGCTTGAAATCGTTTTTGCAGATGTGGTCCGCGGCAGCCGCCGACGTGCCGTGCCACAGGTACCTCCCCAGACATCCAACGTGTTGCACTACTGCAGATCATTACCACAACAAGGCACCCTGATAGCAGCGAATGTGAAGAGGGGGGCCGAGGAGGAGTAGGAGAAGGGAGAAGCACGGCTGGGAAGCCCCGAGGAAGAACATGTGCAGCCGAGACAAAGGGTAAGACCGCGGCCAGGTGCACTTTGATGTATTCTTCCCATGGGAGCGTGGCCGCCCAGACCACACATGGAGCCACCACTCCAGCGCGAGCACGGACGACGGGTGGCGGGGGCGTATCGATAGAGACAAAGGCGGCCGTGCAATGTCGGACATCCCACGACCCCGGCCATGACTCGAGGAAGAAAGAGCGGCCTACGTACAGACTTCTGGAGGTCCGCGGAGATTTCTGGAATCCGCGTGGGACCCCCCCTCCCTGGCGGGCGGAGCGCGCCAGGGGGCGGCGCCCGAGGCGCCGCCAGGGGGGCCCAGTGCCGACCCAAGAAACCCGCGCGGACCTCCAGAAATTTATGCTCATCCCCCCAACTCTCAAGGGATCTGACCAGGTGGCTCAAGGGATCTGACCAGGTGGCTCAAGACGTGATCACTTTACTCTCTACAATCTACAATCCCCTTTACTCTCACACTCTTACAATTCCTTTTACTCTCACACCACCTCTGTGGACCGCGATGTCTTCTTCGGGTTCTGGTGCCGACAAGCGCCAGCCAGGTACTCCTGTGCGACAGCTGTTCAAGGCAGAGAAGCACTGTGGTCGCCGCCCCTGTGGTCGCCGCCACTGTGCTGTGCGACAACTCTCACCCCTGTGGTCGCCGCCCCCATTTTTGTTGTTGTTTTCCCCACATGTTTCGTGGGGTTCTGGTTTTCTTCCCTGCCGCGCCGCACCCGCGTCTCACACCTCCCCCTCCTCTTCTCCTTCTCGCACAGCACAGTACAGCACAGCACGGCACGGCACGGCACGGCACAGCACAGCTCACCGCACAGCAGCACAGCACAGCACAGCACAGCATACCACACAGGGCATTCCTTCGACGCCACAGGGGGTGGGGGTGCGCAAAGGGTGGTCCCTCAACGCGGCCTCTATCCGTGACACGCTCGCAGATCGTGGCAAGCGTGGCACTTTCTCGACACCACAGGGGGTGCGCAGAGGGTGGTCCCTCAGCGCTGCCTCTATCCGTGACACGCTCGCAGATCGTGGAAGGAGTGGCATTTTCTCGAAGCCGCAGGGGGTGCGCAAAGGGTGGTCCCTCAGCGCGGCCTCTATCCGTGACACGCTCGCAGATCGTGGCAGGAGTGGCACTGTCTCGACACCACAAGGGGTGCGCAGAGGGTGGTCCCTCAGCGCGGCCTGTATCCGTGACACGCTCGCAGATCGTGGCAGGAGTGGCACTTTCTCGACACCACAGGGGGTGCGCAGAGGGTGGTCCCTCAGCGCTGCCTCTATCCGTGACACGCTCGCAGATCGTGGCAGGAGTGGCATTTTCTCGAAGCCGCAGGGGGTGCGCAGAGGGTGGTCCCTCAGCGCGGCCTCTATCCGTGACACGCTCGCAGATCGTGGCAGGAGTGGCACTGTCTCGACACCACAAGGGGTGCGCAGAGGGTGGTCCCTCAGCGCGGCCTGTATCCGTGACACGCTCGCAGATCGTGGCAGGAGTGGCACTTTCTCGACGCCACAGGGGGTGCGCAGAGGGTGGTCCCTCAGCGCGGCCTCTATCCGTGACACGCTCGCAGATCGTGGCAGGAGTGGCACTTTCTCGACACCACAGGGGGTGTGCAGAGGGTGGTCCCTCAGCGCGGCCTCGCCTCTATCCGTGACACGCTCGCAGATCGTGGCAGGAGTGGCATTTTCTCGACACCACAGGGGTGCGCAGAAGGGGTGGTCCCTCAGCGCGGCCTCTATCCGTGACACGCTCGCAGATCGTGGCAGGAGTGGCACTTTCTCGACGCCACAGGGGGTGCGCAGAGGGTGGTCCCTCAGCGCGGCCTCTATCCGTGACACGCTCGCAGATCGTGGCAGAGTGGCACTTTCTCGACACCACAGGGGGTGCGCAGAGGGTGGTCCCTCAGCGCGGCCTCTATCCGTGACACGCTCGCAGATCGTGGCAGGAGTGGCACTTTCTCGACACCACAAGGGGTGCGCAGAGGGTGGTCCCTCAGCGCGGCCTCTATCCGTGACACGCTCGCAGATCGTGGCAGGAGTGGCACTTTCTCGACACCACAGGGGGTGCGCAGAGGGTGGTCCCTCAGCGCGGCCTCTATCCGTGACACGCTCGCAGATCGTGGCAGGAGTGGCACTGTCTCGACACCACAGGGGGTGCGCAGAGGGTGGTCCCTCAGCGCGGCCTGTATCCGTGACACGCTCGCAGATCGTGGCAGGAGTGGCACTTTCTCGACACCACAGGGGGTGCGCAGAGGGTGGTCCCTCAGCGCGGCCTCTATCCGTGACACGCTCGCAGATCGTGGCAGGAGTGGCACTTTCTCGACACCACAGGGGGTGCGCAGAGGGTGGTCCCTCAGCGCGGCCTCTATCCGTGACACGCTCGCAGATCGTGGCAGGAGTGGCACTTTCTCGACACCACAGGAGGTGCGCAGAGGGTGGTCCCTCAGCGCGGCCGCTATGCACGACAGTCGTCCAGGGCATAGCAAGCGTGGCACTTTCTCGACACCATAGAGGTTGCGCAGGGGGTGGTCCCTCACCGCGACCGCTATGCACGACGGTCGTCCAGGGCATAGCAGGCGCGGCATTTTCTCGACACCACTGGGGGTGCGCAGGGGGTGGTCCCTCACCGCGGCCGCTGGCTGGCTCGAATCTGTCCTCGACGGAGGATAGAAGGCTAGGAAGAGGGAGGAGGTTCAAGCAATATGGCGTTGGATGACACATAGGGGAACATTCGCGACGAGGGCTGAGAACGCAGAATTGCACATATATTGTAAACTTAAGCAAACACTCAATATTTAAGTTAAGTATGTGGGATTCCTCGGTAGCGTAATTTTTTGTTCGGCCTCCGGGGGCCCCCCACCGGTCCCCCAGAGGCTGTCCACAAAACGGCTCGGGGTGAAGGGAATGGGAACGATAGGGGGGACCGGCCCACGGGGGGAAGGGTTGACCCAGAATCGGCGATGCATCGCCGATGGATCGGAGATAGGCCCTCGATAGCGCAACCCAGCGCTCCTGGGCGGGAGCGGCCATCGATACCCTGTCGGCGATCAGTGGGCGATTGGGGGTCGATGCGTTCCCCCTAGAGCCTATCTCCCCCTAGCCTTGTCCCAGAACGGGGCTTCGGAGCTCCAATTCCCAATGGCGACGGACCGCGTGGTGACCTCGGAGTCCCCAACGACCTCACCGCGCGGTCCGTCACCGCACGGTCTTGGGACCTCGGAGGTTCCAATCGCCCGTAGAACGTCCTCGGAGACCGACCCGAGTCGTAAAACCGCGCGGTGGCCCCGAGTCCCCTGGACCCCGGGGCCCTGCCCCAGGACGAGGTCTTGATCCCGAATCGTTTTCCGACAGTCCTGGGGCCCTCTACGATGTTTTCCCAACCATCCGGTGGTGTTGGGTCCTCGTTTTGAAGAGACGGTGCCCCGCGTTCCTTCCTTCCCGCCCTCCTCCCACTCCTCCTCCCTCCTCCCTGCGCGTTTCACTCACCCAGTACAGCGTTTCGTGGCCCCATAGGGAGCTCCACCGAAGGCCCCAGTGGCAGGGTTCGCATGGCGACCCCGCGCCATTTTGGCGCACCCCTCACACGGTTCGTGGCCCCATTGGGAATTCCCCTTGCTTCGTCCCACCTGCCCTGCGGTTCTCACACTTGCGTATGGTTGGGTCCTTCGCCAGGATAATTTTTTAGCGCAACAATCAGACAAGGAACAATTGTTTGCCTGGTGTGGTCCCAAGAATTACTGGTGATACAGCGGCCATGCAGAGCCATACGCTGCAACAGCAAGGTGTGACTGCCGTGGAAGGCCCCGAGAGCCCGGAAAATGCGGAAGACCTCAGGACCCGCTTCTCGGGGGGGACGAGCGGGTAGGACAGCCAAGGGCAGGGCAGAGAATCAGCTCAAGCAGCTGGCTCTCCTGGCGCCCACTGGCGCCCGTTGGCGCCCACGCATCGAGGAAGGGGCCCGGCGGCGCGGCCGAAACCGGCCGCATGCAGCAGATTTCGTCCCCCCCCCTTCCCTTCCCTGCCCTGCCCTCTCGTCCGGCTCGAGATTCCCTCAAGACCCGCTCCCCTCACGGCGAGACTTCTGTTAGGTCGGGCATGTCCCTCTACAGGGGGATCTTGGGCGAAAAATAAAAAAACAAAAAAGTACCCCCCAAATGGGCACAAATAGTCAAACAATCGTCCACATACTATTTCTCGACTGTTTTTGAATACTCCTCCTGAAGAGGGACACGCCCGACTTAAGACTTCTGGCGATCCCCCCCCAAAAAAAACAGCTCAGGGCGCCGGAGGCCTCCGGGGCCGCCCGCCCGCCCGAGGAGGGCGGTGCCGCCCGCGGGCCGCACTGCGCGGGCGCAGCCTTGAAAACGCGACGACGGCAGGTCGACGACGACGACCAGCGACGACGACGACGACGACCAGCGACGACGATGATCACGGTCGACGACGACCAGCGACGAAGCCCTCGTCGTTGTCGTCGTCGTCGTCCTCCTCCTCCTCCTCCTCTTCCTCCTCCTCCTCCTCCTCCTCCTCCTCCTTCTCCTCCTCCTCCTCCTTCCTCTCCCTCATCCTCCTATTCATCCTCTGCCCCCTTCCTCCTCTGCCCTTTGGCTCCCCCTGCTCCTCCTCCTCCGCCTCCTCCTCCTTCCCCCCGCGCGATTCGACAAACCAGCACGTACATCGGGAAATTTGTGTTTCTGGCGATTGTTTATCTTCGGACAAGACCACCGCGACATTTCATGCGCTGCCAAGGCATGTGTGCCCGGTGTGCCGTTGCGGTCGTCGTCGTCACTGTCGTCAACGTCGTCGTCACCATGCGGCTCCTCCACTTCCCTCCTGCCACCCTTCCGCGTTCTCCCCACCATCATTGTCATTTTCCTCCTCCGGCCCCTCACCCCCGTCCTGGCGTGTAGTTACATAAGGCCCCTTCCCATGGCCTCCATCACCAGCTGGCCTGCCGCATCCTCGCGGGGCTCAAATTAATCTGCGATAATATTGGAATCTATCTCCTTCCTCTCCTCCTCCTCTGGCCCTTCGTTCTTGTGTGTTTTGAGCCTTTGGCGAATGCGCTGCCGGGATGCGGCTGGAGATCAGGGCCAGCAGATAAGCGGAAACTCCTGCCAAGTGCCAGGAGGCAGAACAAGGTTGCGAGTGATGATCCGGCGGCAGAGGCGGCGGCGGCGGCAGCAATCGCGACACTCGTCGTCGCCGCCATCCTCCTCTAGATCGACCCCTTTGACCTTTCCTGGGGCGTGCTCTGACCGCGGCGGCAATGGACCCGCTGTCAAGAATCCTTTGCCCTCCTCGTTCTCCTCCGAACTGTTCTCCGCCCTCTCGTTTGTCCTGGAGCTGGTAGGTGCCAGGGGCGATTCCGGGTTGCGCTCGGGGCCCTTGGCTGTTCGCAGTGACACCACCTGGAGACGAGGCCTTGCCACGGCTCTCCTGGGGGCGCGGACCTGGACCGACTGACATTTACGAGGGGTCCCTGGGAGCGCGGATCCCGTGGAGAAGACTCCGCAAAACAGGGTGGGTCGCCCCCTGGCTCGTCCCCTGGTGCGCCCCCTGGCTTGCCCGCGTCCAATGGAACGTCCGCGGCGCGTCCCCAGGCATGCCCCCCTGGCATGTCCCTTGGAGCGTCTCTCTGCACGCACCGTGACGCGTCCAGTGGCACGTCCCCTGGCGCGTCGCGCGGCACGTCTCGTGTTGCGGCTCACTTCACGTCCCTTGGCGCGTTCCTTGGCGCGCTTCCCTTGGCCTGTCGCCTGGCGCGTCCACTGGCGCGTCGACTTGCACGTCGCGCGGCACGTCCTCTGCCCTGACTCGCCCCCTGACTCGTCCCTTAGCGCGTCCCCTGGCTCGTCTCCTGGCCCGTCCCCTGACACGTTACGTGGCGCATCCCATGGCACGCCCCTTGGCACGTTCCCTGGCGTGTCCTCTGGCGCTTCCCTTGGCAATTCCCCTGGCACGTCCACTGCAACGTCCCCTGACACGTCCACTGGCGGGCCCATTGGCGCGTCGACTGGCACGTCGCACGGCACGTCCCCTGGCACGTCCCCTGACTCGCCCCCTAGCGCTTTCCCTGGCTCGTCTCCTGGCGCGTCCCATGACACGTTACGTGGCGCATCCTATGGCCCGTCCCTCGGCACTTTCCCTGGCGTGTCCCCTGGCGCTTCCCTGGGCAGTTCCCCTGGCGCCTCCGCTACCGCGTCCCCTGGCGCGTCCCGTAGCACGTTCCCTGCCTCGTCTTCTGGCGCTTCCCCTACACGTTCCGTGGCGCGTCCCCCGGCGCGTCCCCTAGCACGTCCCTTGGCGCGTCCACTGGCGCGTCCCTGGGCGCGTCCCATGGGACGTCTACTGGCATGCTCCCTGGCTCGTCCCCTGGTTCGTCCACTGGCGCGTCCCTTGGCGCATCCCCTGGCGCGCCCCTGGCACGTCCTCTGGCGCGTCCATGAGCCCCTGGTCGGTTCGTCCCGTTTCGGCACCGAATCAGATCTTGAGCCCGAGCTGGTTGAGCGCCCCGCATGTTTCGACTACAACCAGTTCTGGGCGAGCCATGCTATCATGCAGCCCGAGCTACATGTTCATATCAGTTCGATCAGGATTCGGATGCAAATTGTAGAGCACAACGCAGTTCAACACAACACGAAACAACTCAATTCTGCGCAGCACGGCACAACACGGTACAGCGCAGCCGAGCCCAGCACAGCCATTGGCACGGTATCATCCCCATTGGTATCTTCAGCGTTGCCACTGCCCATTGCAATTGTGGGAATTCAATTCCATTTTTGAATTCGTGGATCGATCATGATTCTGTAAAGCCGGAGGTCTGGGTTCTTCCATGCTCAATGTTGACCCTGGGACCTCTCTTGTAGGACATTCCGACCATAATTTCAAGTCGGACCCGACCGTGGCGACGAGGGCATTCTTAGAAACCCACAAAGGGCGAGAAGAGCAAATCACGTTCGATCCTCAATCCTCCTCCTCCTCCTTCTCCATCATCTTCCCTTCTAATCAACTCCTCCCTGTCGCACCACAGAACGTGTCCGTAGACCAGACCAGACTGGGCATTTCGCTGAAGAGTTTCTTACATTTTTCTATCTCGACACTTGAAACTTTTTAGCAACTACATGGATGGAGGCCGGTACCTCTTCAGATGGTGGCACTCGCCTTGGCGCGGCGCTCATTTGGCTTAAACGCTTCCAACAATAACACAGATAGATGGAGGCACCTTTTCAAAGTGTGGCTCTCGCATGTGCGCCGAGCACATTCGTCAACACAGATCTAGCATTTCCACGAATGAAAACATTTTTTTGGTTTTCGGATTCGGCTGTCGCCTGAGCCTTCCCCAAATCGTAACATGTCAACTTGGACAAAACATCGCCAGTCGAGGGCAATACCTTTTTAAGATGGGGCTCTCGCTTGAGAATCCGCTTGATTTCATGACTTGTGTAGGGCCGACTGGTCAGGTCTGCAAGTGCTAGGAGCGGGCGACAAGGGGTGCAACCTCTCTGCGCGCTGTAACCGCGCGCCTTAACCGCCCCCCTTGATGCACTCTCTTGACGCCACCCCTTGATGCACCCCCTTGACGCCCTCCATTGATGCACCCCCTTGACGTCCCAGAGGAGGGCGCTCTCGGACTCTCAATCCTGCTCGATTCAAAACCAGAAGTTCTAACATCCCAGATCCCCGACGCCGTTTTTTTTTTTTTTTTTTTTTTTTTTTTTTTTTTTTTTTTTTTTTTTTTTTTTTTTTTTTTTTTTTTTTTTTTTTTTTTTTTTTTTTGTTTTTTGTTTTAAATTATTATTATTGCTATTCTTATTCTTATTCTTATTCTTATTCTTATTAATATTATTATTTTTAGTTATATATATAAATATATATAAAAACATCGACCCCCAGAGGTCTGGACCCCTTCCGAAGGACCAGCTTCTCATCCTGCATCGTTTTTGTTGACGGTCCCGAGGCGCGGTAAGGCCCCCCAGAAGCCGAAAACAGCGAAACCTTCCCATCGTTTTTTCCCCAGCGCGAGGGGGTCTGGGATGTGCACCAGCGGCGCGGATCGATCCAGGGATGCTCCTCTTTCAACAGCGGGGCTGTCGTTGGGCATGTCTTGGAACTTGAAGCCCCCACCTTGTCGTACAGTGCGGGCGCGGCCGCAAGAAACCCTCGCAAGAAACCCAACCCTGAGATCTCGTGCGCGAGGTACACCTGAGGGAAAACCCGGAGCACCCTGAACGCAGCAGCTCCTTCAAAGGCTGCGCGGAGTCACCGCGCAGCGCGAGGAGCGAAGACACCCAGGACACCCTGACGAAGAACCCATATGGTTTCTCGATGCGCGCCCCCACTGTACTGAAGGGGCCCTGGGACACACAAATAGATACACACAAATACAAAGATTCCCCATATTTTCATATATTTTCTGGGTTTTTTTTTGTCTTCCCGCCCAATTCCCGTGTTTTCCCATATTTTCTGAAGACTCGACGATTTCATTGTGTCTGTGTGTTTCTTCCCCTCCTCATGTACACCTTGCGAAATGCTTAAGAAATCATGGGTTAAGAAATTCATAGTCTCAGAACTTGAATAAAAACCCATCATTTCCATTAAAGTCTTAGGATTTCCATTGAAAAATGAAGAATAATCGAGACTCTGGCCGAAAACTTAAGTTTTCTTAAGCATCGCCTAAGGTGTACCCCTCCTGGCTCGAAGGGCGGAGGCGCCTCTTCTCAGAACGCAGCTCCCGCTGGAATCGCGGGCACACGGGGCGCCGGCCTGGCAGGGAGGGCGCTCCACGCAGCGAGAGCGATGCTCCCAGGGGGCCGCTGCGTCGGGGGACACGAGCGGCAGGGCGTGTTTGCAGCATCGTTGATGCATCTTGGGCTTGCTCTGGCCCTCCTCCTCCTCCTCCTCCTCCTCCTCCTCCTCCTCCTCCTCCTCCTCCTCCTCCTCCTCCTCCTCCTCCTCCTCCTCCTCCTCCTCCTCCTCCTCCTCCTCCTCCTCCTCCTCCTCCTCCTCCCCTCTCTGAGATCCCCGGAGGTGCCGGGAGGCTCAAGAGAAGCTCAAGAAGCGCCTGCGAAGCATGTGTCTTGGACTCTCGAATCTCGAACCTCGAATGTCTGCTTCCTCCTGCTGGGGCCTGGGACCTGCGGACTGTCTTGAAGACGAGCGAGCGACTGAAGCCCTCGTGCGGCCCTCCTCTCCTCATCCCGTCCCCACCAGCGCGAGAACTGGAAGGGCGGCAGGGAGGAGGGCGCACGTGCAGACTCGGGCGGGAGCCCAGGCCAAAACGGGGTGCCCCCCCACGGAGGCGGGAGACCGACGGACGGGCGACGCGAGGAGGAGCAACAGGGGGCCCTCCTCCTCCTCCTCCTCCTCCTCCTCCTCCTCCTCCTCCTCCTCTCCTCCCTCCTCTCCTCCTCCCTCCTCCTCCCCCTCCCCCCCCCCCCCCTCCCCCTCCTCCTCCTCCTCCTCCTCCTCCTCCTCCTCCTCCTCCTCCTCCTCCGGTCCTCCTCCTCCTTCTCCTCCTCCTCCTCCTCCTCCCCGGGGACGCGTTGCAACCCAGTCCAGCCGGGGCCATGCCGCGAACCCGGGGCCGGCCGCACGGGAGCTTCCAAGCCCAGGTCCGCGGAGGAAGGGGATGGGGCACCGTGGGAGGGTTGACGAGGCACAACGGGTGTATCCCCTAGACTTCTCAGGGCAGGCTCTCGTTCTAGCAATCAAGATTTGGCTTTGTAGTCTATCTCGCTCTCTCTCTCTCTCTCTCTCTGTCTCACCCGATATATACATATATGTATTCATACATACACACATATATATATAAACTGTGTCTATACATATATGTTTATATATGTACGTACACACACACACTCAGATCTACCCTTTCTACAGATACATACATATATATAGATATAGATAGTGAGACCTGGATCCGCCACCGTGCCTGCACGGAGTGGGGCGTAATATGATGCTCGTCTGTTGTCTGGGAGGTCTTGTAGCGTTTTCAAGAACCCCCCCTCGCCACGCGCACAACCAACAGAAACACCCCTTTTGAAGTCGCTTCCCGGCGATACGGCCAAGATGGCCGAAAGGACGGCTTCCAAGACAGCCAAGGCGAAACCCAAACAGCTCAAGATGGCCCAAGACAGCTCAAAAGCTTCTCAGGAGAGCCTCAAGATGGCTCAAGCTAGCCCGAAAGGGCCTCAAGACGGCCCAAGAGGCACTCAAGACTGCCCAAGAGAGCTCCAAGAGGCCTTCCTGGAGAGCCCCAAGGGGGCAAGACCATTGAATTCCCTAGGTTTTTGAAGGATATTGAGGCTCTCGCCTGTTCGGGTTTCCGACCACCCAGGACGGCCCAAGAGGCCTGCAAGATGCCTTCAAAATGGCTCCAAGACAGCCCAAGAGACCCCCAAGAGGGCCCCGAGTCGGCCCAAGAGCACGCAAAGATCGCCCAAGGGGCCCCAAAGAGGGTACCAAGGCGGCCTTGAAGTGCTACATGCCAGCAACAAGACGACCCAGGGAGGTCTCTTGGGATGAATCGGGCGGTTGGAAACACAAACATGACAGGACCTCAAAATCCTTCAACAACCTAAGGCGCATCAACGGTTTTGGCCTCCTCGGGCTCTCTGGAGGGCCTCTTGGAGACCTTTTGGGCTATCTTGGGGGCCTCCTGATCTGTCTTGAGGCTTTCTTGGGAGCCTCATGGCCTCCAGGACGGCTTTGAAGGCAGCCAAAATGACAACAAGAGGGCTCAAGATGGTTTAAGGGGCTCCCAAGACAACCTCAAGGCAGATCAAGAAGCCCCAAAGACGACCCAATAGGCCTCCAAGAGGCCCTCCTGGAGAGAGCCCGAGGATGCCCAAACCATGGACTTTCCATTTGTTGTTAACACATATTGAGGTTCTCACCTGTTCGGGCTTCCGAATAGCTCCAAAACAGCCCAATCGGCCCCCAAGAAGGCCCGAAGTCGGCCCAAGAGGACCCAAAGATCGCCCAAGGGCCCCCCCGTCACGTGCTTCCCGACCTCCCTCCTCCTCCTCCTTCTCCTCCTCCTCCTCCTCCTCATCGGCCTCGTCCTCCTCCTCACTCCCCTCCTCCTTCTCCTCCTCCACCTCCCTGAAGGCCGCTTGGGGCACGACCGCGCTGCGCCGAAGCATGCCGTGGGCCCATGTTTAATCGTGTGCGCGCTGCGGGCAATGCCCGTGCGACCCGCGCTCATTACAGCATGCTTCGCGCGCCGAGTAAAGCCTCCTCCTCCTTCTGACCAGATTGTGGGAATCCGCGCTGGGGGCACCACTCGTTGATCCTGGGGTCCAGCTTGTCGGCTCCCCTGTTCTCCCAGGCACTGGCGCGGGGGGCGGTCGAGGAACGTCGGGGTGGGAGGTGGAGGAGGAGGAGGAGGAGGAGGAGGAGGAGGAGGAGGAGGAGGAGGAGGAGGAGGAGCAGGAGCAGGAGGAGGAGGAGGAGGAGAAGGAGGAGGAGGAGGAGGAGGGGTGTGGGTGTCCAGCAACCCCAACCGAACCCATATGAACGGGAGGGGGCCGAATTGAGAGAGAGAGGCTCCAGGGTCAACCGAGGCCCCGAATTGATCAACTCAAAGGTCGATCACTAGGGAAATCAGCCACAAGGCCGATCCAAAGCACACTCGGTGCAGCCAAGAGGAGGAGGATCAGGAGGACGAGCATCAGGGGGAGCAGGAGGAGGGGGTCCAGGAGGGGGAGGGGGAAGAGGAAGAGGATGAGGGGGAGGAGGAGGAGCAGGAGGAGTAGTAGTAGTTGTAGTCGGAGGAAGAGGAGGAGGAGGAAAAGGAGGAGGAGGACGAGGAGGAGGAGGAGGGGGAGGAGGAGGAGGAGGAGGAGGAGGAGGAGGAGGAGGAGGAGGAGGAGGGAGGGTCGTTGAGGCCCCTGCGCCCGGGTGCTCCCCACCACCCGCGGGAAGGGTGCGCGGCCCCGAGCGCGCAGTCCGCCACGCGGCGGATGGCGCGCCGTGCGATACGTTCGCCGCCCAAGTACCTCACGATCCACGTGAAATGCATCACGATCTGCGCGAGCATCACCAAGATCAGCGCGACATGCATCAAGATCCACACGAACATCATCAAGATCGGCGTGAGATACTTCGGGACCAGCAGGAGCCAAGGCTGCGAGACCTACCCACCCTGGTGGAGACCTGCCGACAAGTACGCCGAGACCATACACGCATAGAAGTTTACGGACGCGAACAAGCGCGGCCCCAAGACGAGTGGGGTACAATTCCGACATGGGATACTACCGCGATCTGACGACATCATTGTCATTGTCACGGCCGCCTCGCACACCAAGCACGACGCACAGTACGACAACGCAACGTACGACACCAGGCACGACGCGACCGAGCAGCCCGAAGGGGTTGCCAAGTACATCGTCCTGGAGATGCTGGCGGACCACGACTGCGCCGCCTACGACAACGACGGCTACGACGCCTGCAACGGCTACAACGAGTACAGCGGCTACGACGACTACACCGCGTACGGCCTCCTCCCCCTGCCGCCCATCATGCCGGCTTTTCGCGGGCCACAGGTGAACTTCGAGGGCCCCCAGCAGAACCACGAGGGCCACAAGCAGAGCTTCGACGGCAAGAAGCAGAGCCCCAAGAGCTCCTGCCTGAGCCTCGAGGGCCACCAGCAGAGCTTCGACGGCAGAAACCCGAGCTTCGAGGGTCACCAGCTGAGCCTCGAGGGCCACCATCAGAGCTTCCAAGGCAAGACGCAGAGCCTCACGACCCACCAGCTGAACTTCAAGGGCCACTGGCAGATCTACGACGGCAATCGGCAGAGCTTAGAGGGCCACCAGCTCAGCCTCAAGAGCCACCGGCTGAGCTTGGAGGGCCACCAGCAGAGCTACGAGAACCACAGGCTGAGCTACCAGGACCACGCGCAGATCTAAGAATGCCATACGCATGTCTTCGAGGACCACCAGCCGAGCTACGAGGATGACGAGAAGAGCTTCGAGGACCGCGGGCTGAGCTACGAGGGCTACCAGCCGAACAGCGAGAGCCATCTGCACCATATTCCCTGCCACTTGGCTGGAAAAGCTACCTCGACCAGCAGGGGCACGCTACTACCACCACGCGGCCCGTGACATGACGACGTGGACGCCGCCGTACACCAGGCCCGCCGATACCTTCCTTCGTAGCTGCCTCAAAAAGCCGCCGCACCACGGAGACATAGAGAAGGAACGTGCCGACGAGAGCGACGAGCAAGGTGACGCCGCGCACGACGAGTACGAGGAGAGCGATTAGCAGGGCGAGGCCCGAGCAGAGCTACGCGGGCCAAGAGACCTCTACGAGCCTCCAGTAGAGCCACGAGGGCCACCTGCTGAGGTGCGAGGGCCACAAGCTGAGGGCAACCAGTCGAGTTTCGCAAGCAAGCTACCGAGCTACGAGCACCACGAACTGAGCTACTCGGATAACAAGCAGAGCTTCGAGGGCCACCTGCTGAGCCACCCGGGCCACTAGCAGAACTACGAGGACAACCCGCTGCGCTTCGAGGGCCACCAGCAGAACCACGAGGGTCCCCAGCAAAGCTGCCAGGGCCACAAGCAGAGCTGCGAGAGCCCCCAGCAAAGCTGCCAGGGCCACTTGCAGAGCCGCGAGAGCCACCAGAAGAGATTCGAAGGCCACCCGCCGAGCTAGGAGGACCACGAGCTGAGCTACACGGACATCGAGCGGAGCTTCGAGAGCCACCAGCTGAGCAACCTGGGCCCGCAAAGCTCCGAGAACCATCCCCCTGCTCCTCGAGGACTGCCAGAAGAGCTTCGAGGGCCGCCAGCAGAGCTTCAAGGGCCACCAGCTGAACTACCAGTGCCACCCGCTGTTCCACGAGAACCACCACCAGAAACACCAGGGCCACCTGCTAAGCTGCGAGGTCCACCAGCGGAGCTACGAGGGGCATTAGTTGAGCTACTCGGGCCACCAGCTGAGCTACGAGGGCAAGCCGCTCAGCTAAAGGGCTACTCCGGCCTCCAGCTGAGCCACCAGGCAAGGCCGCTGGGCTACGAGAGCCACCGCTAGAGCTACGGCGACCACCTGCAGATCTACCAGGGCACCCACTGAACTACGAAAGCTACAAACTGAGTTACTTCGGCCACAAGCTAAACTACGAAGTCTACCGCCGGAGCTGTGGGGGCTACCAGCAGAGCTCCGAAGGCCACCGGACCTACGAGGGCAACCAGCTGAGCTCCGACGGCCACCAGAAGAGCTTCTACCACGCGATACACGCCATGAGGTGGAAACTGCGACAGCCAGAGGGATCGCAACCACCTACCAAGACAAATTGAACAGAGAACTCCAGCTGCGGATCCGTACGATAAAGGCTGTCTACGAGGCGGGCCGCATCTCCTACGACCAGTGCGAAAAACGCGTCGCCATTGCGCACCGCCATATGAGAGGCTCGCCATCGTGAGGTGCCACATGATCTTCATGTGGCACCTCGCGATGATGGCGCGGCAGGCCATCACAATAAGCGCGACTGGCCTGCCTGAAGCCACCACACTATGGAACAACGTACTATGCCATCATACCTACAACGATCACTCTGTATATAGAGTAGCCCTCATACTGCCATGCGTCTCCACCGGTGCAGACAAGGTGTGCCGTGTACACCGCTGCTGGCAAGGTACTGCGTGATCGTAGGCACCAACGGCATGTTTTGAGCGGCCCGGCCGCTCACCCATGCCCCCCTCCTCCTTGTCGTTATCATCAATGCATGGTATCCCTCCTTCTTCCGTCCCGTCCCGTCCTGTCCCGTCTCCGGAAATCGTCCGAGCTCTGGCGTGGGCTCGGCGGCCCCGTGGGCAGCGCGCGGGCCGCACGGCCGCGCGTGCGGGCAATTGGAATGAAGAGAACGCGGAAGAGGAGGAGGCGGAGGAGGGAGGAAGGAGGAGGGAGGAGAGAGGAGGGAAGAAAAGGAAAAGGAGGAAAAGGAGGAAAAGGAGGAGGATGAGGAGGATGATGAGGAGGAGGAGGAAGAGGAGGAAGGAGGAGGAGGAGGAGGATAAAGAGGAGAGCCGCTGAGGATGCGGCTGCTGCTGCTGATGCTGTTGTCGATGCTCTTGTTGTTGCTGATCCTGGTGCTGCGGCTGCTGCTGATTACGGGGATGACGATGATGAGGATGCCGATGGTGATTTGCAAGATGATGACGAAGACGATTGCGGTGTGGTCACGTTGCTAAATCTGAGGATCATGATGACGCATGATGATGATGTTGACGATGTTTTTTTTTGTTGTTCCCCCCCCCCCGGCGTGTGTGTGTGAACATGAGAAAAGGCCGTAAGCGCCAACTGGGCTGTCTGGGCTGTGGCAGGAAGCTAAGCACGCAGCTTTCTGGCATATGGCATTCCACGAGAGCGGTGGGAGACCGAAGCACTGGCAGAGATGGCTGCTCAGAACCCTCCCGCGCCCGGCAAAGAATCGGGAGAACACCACAAAGGCATCCATCACGTTTGAAGCCAGCCACGCATGGTTTGCGCAACATCATGTTGACGACCTTACTTAGACCAGCAGGAAGAATACCATCAAGATGCTTGAAAGACCATGCGGCGGAATGAGCGGGAGCGGCAGAACTAGACTTAGAAAAGCTAAGAAAAACCAGAGCCTCACAGAACTCAGAGATGTTTTCACCAGCGTCGTCATCATCACCACGAGCCTTCTTGCGAGGCGGCGACCCCTTAGGAATAACATCGGCACCACTATCCAGAACTCGACCTCCAGCTGCAGTAGGAAGAACAGTACCGCCACCTTCAGAACCAGGAACGCCACGTAGATCCACAGGGCCAGGATGATCAGCAGCACCTCCACGATGGTGATGATGAGGATGATGCTGGTGATAATGCTAATGACGATGTTGATGTTGATGCTGCTGCTGATGATGATGATGCTGATGATGGTGATGATGATGAGGATGATGATGATGATGATGATGATGATGATGATGATGATGATGATGATGATGATGATGATGTTGATCATGATGAGGATGATGCTGCTGCTGATGATGATCATGATAAGGAGGATTATGATGCTGCTGCTGATGACGATGATGCTGTTGACGATGCCCTTATTGTCGCTGTTGCTGATGCTGCTGATAATGATGATGAGAACTGTTGATGATGCTGATGAAGATGAGGATGAGGATGATGAAGAGGAGGAGGGGGAGAAGGCGGAGGAGGAGACGGAACTTGGATTCCCTCCTCGCCGCGAAATCGACTTCGAGGCGTTGGCAGCCCTGGACCTCCCGCGGCCAAGAGGGAAGAGCCACGACGGCGGGCCTTTCTCCAGCCCCAGGAGAGGCCCCTAAAAGAGGCGCCCAAGAGGCTCCCAGGAGGTCTCCAGCAGGCCTCCGAGATCGACCCCAGGATGCACCCATGGAGGCACCCCCGGAAGGCTTTGGCCCGTAGCCCAAGATTGGTGGCGGGATGGGCCGAAGCCACTAGATCCGCCGCTTCCTGTTGAATCATCGCAAGGGTGCAAGGCGTGCTACATGTTTCACTTTTTCAAACCGTTTCAAACAATCGCAATGGGGTCTCAGCCGAGAACGCCGGCCAACCGGAAAATTCCCCAGATTGGTCTCCCGACGGCTAACCCGCCCAATGTGGTCCCCAAGATGGCCTCCTAGACGGTCAAGGTGGTCCAAGATGGCCTCCAAGACGGCTAAGATGCCACCAGGTCGGCCCCAAGATGACTCCAAGACGGCCCCGAGAGGCCCTCAGGACGCCCTTACGAGGGGGCTCCACGAGGACCTTCAGGAGACCAAAACCACTGATGCCCCTCAGGATTTCCAATCGTTTTCTCGTTTTCGCCTCATCGGGCCTCCGACACCCGAGCACGGCCCCAGAGGCCTCCAGTGTGGAACCAGGTCGGCCTGAGGGCAAGGCGGCCAAGAGACGGCTCGAGAGGCCCCACGACGGCCCAAAGACTGCTCCACAGACCTCCAAGACGGCCCCACAGCGCCCAAAGAGGGCTCCACGACTGCCTAGTGGGACCAAGACGGCCTCCGAAGGCCAATCTGCCCCTCAGAAGCCCCCAGAGGCCCTTAAGAGGCCTCCCGAAGGTGTCATTTTCCTATCTCTCCTTCTCCTCCTTCCCTCTCCTCCTTATCTGTCTTCCTCCCACAAGTGTTCCCTCAAGGGCTGGGGGAACACGTAGTCCAATGAGTAGCTTGGCAAGACTTTAGCCCAACGTTTGGCCGCACACGCGTTTTCAAAAGGCAGCGGGCGGCGGTGGTTCGCCGTAGGCGTCTTCGATAGAGACCTGTGCCGAAGGACTCCCTCCCTCCTCCTCTTTCCCTTCCTGCTGTTCCTCCTGCTCTTCCTCCTCCTCCTTCTCCTCCTCCTCTCCCGTTCCCCCTCCTCCCCTCCATCCCCTCGCACCTGCCCTCCAACCAGATCTCACCCTCCTTCTCCTGCTCCTGTTGCTGTTGCCCTCACCCCCCTGCTCCTTCACCCTCCTCCTCACCCTCCTCCCCCGATTCTCTCTCTGTGCTTCCTCCTCCCTCTCCCATTCTCTTGCTCCCCCTCCTAATCATGCTCTCTGCAAGGGGAGGAATTCCCCGTCCCTGGATGTGGACGGGGACTTGAAGCGGGAGGGGGATGTGGGCGGGGAGCGGGAGCAGGAGGCGGATCGGCGCGGAGCAGTTGTCTTATCCCAATTCACGTGCTTGCGCATCCCCGGTGCTTTTTCATGTCGCGCGGTGGGGGTCTGGTCTGTGAAGCTGCATCAGAAGTGAACGCTCCCGATGGTGGTAAACCCGCTCAGCAACGACTGGTAGCATACTCAAAACCGTAGTGGGCACTGGCGTCATATCAACCCAGCCCCGGCAAAGATCTGCACTCTACTCGTGGGTCCAGGTCGTTCCGACCCCGCTGAAGGGGCAGCAGGCAAGCACTGAGCTCAAGCTGACGTAATTACACCACGCACTCAACACTCTTACGTCCGATCCAACATCCAAGACGATCGGCTGCACGTAAAAGTGACCCTAGGCAAGAGTGATCTTTGGTGCGCAACTTTCGAGGGGCGCAGGGGGGGGGGGACGGGGGGGCAAGCCCGAGCGCGGAAGCCGCTGCTATCGCGCCGCATTCGGCCACCAGAGGACCCCAAATGTGCCCGCACCCAAAGGCCACTCTGGCGAAAGGTACGAGCGCTGGTCAGGAGAGGCTACGTCCAGACAGAGGAAGTCCAGACGGAGACCGAACACTCCGTATGGACTTACTCCGTACAGACTTAGCCTCCGCCGAGCTGGAAAACCTTGAGCTGAAACTCGCCAACTGGTGCGCTCCTTCGCACCGCGCCACCCGCCAGCGACCACCACGCAGGCAGACGCGACGGGCTCACCACTGTGCTTGCGGCGCCGTATGTGTTTGTGTGTGTGTGTGCACGGGTAAGAACAGAGGACAAGAGCTGTGCGCACCTTGGGTGCACACCAGCTTCGCTCAACCGGCAGGATGCCCGAACGCCGCGATCAGCACGACGCCGACGAGCTGACAGAGGAACGCGCACGCGAATAGCTTCAGCTGCTTCTCGCCAGTGATTTCTCTGAAGACGAAGACCGAAATCAGGCTAGACACAACGATGGGCCCAACGGCGTCCAAGGTGTACCCGATGGAATAACCGAGCTCGTGTATGCCTCCGATCATGCAAGCGAAACCCAATGCCCAAATGCACCCGCTGAAATACGCGGGGCGGATGACGGCGTGCGGCACGGGTACACCTGCCAGCCGGGCGAGCGACGCATACACGTTGTATATGGCCGTGGAGGCCACCCAGATCCCAAAACACTGGGGAAGCACGACCGCCGTGGGCCGGTTCCCTGGGTGCTCTGCGTTGTAGAGGGTCGCCGGGACGCTCTGGACCCCGCACAGCCCGCCGCCCACGATGGCTAGGACCACGCCCACGAGCCTGCTGAACAAGAGGAGGGGGAGGAGGATAGAGGATGTAGGGCGTCGGTCATCTAACGAGCCTGCCCGCAGCTGTCACGCTATCAGGCCGAGCAAGAATCGGCTACTCGCAACAGCGACTCTAGACAAGAACGGCCTTGGGTGCGCAGCTTAAGGGGCCGCGGGGGGAGGGGAACGGGGCAAACAGAAGTGCGCAAGCCAGTGTTGGGAGGGCCACTGTGGGCCCGCACCAGAGGTCACTCCAGCGAAGGGTCACTCTTACGCGTAGCCGAAACATTATAGTGAATGTTAGCCAGCGTGGATTCCCCAAACAGTAAGCTATTGCACTGTGGATGTGTATGTTATGTGGTGTGAGCTATGTGGTCCAGTATACGTGGTGCAAACTCGAGGCGGCAACGGGGCAGCAACGTGGCGAAATCTCGCCTGACCCTCCCAGCGCAAGAGGCGGCATCGAGGCAACAACGGGCGGCAACGTGGCGGAACCTCGCTGGACCCACCCGGCGTACAAGGCAGCAACGCGGCGAAATGCCGGACCCACCCGGCGCACGAGGCGGCAACGGGCGGCAACGTGGCGAAACCTCGTCGGACCCACCCAGCGCACGAAGCGGCAACGAGGCGGTAACGGGCGGCAGCGTGGCGAAACCTCGCCAGACCCACACAACGAAAGAGGCGTCAACGAGGCGGCAACCAGACGGCAATGGGCGGCAACGTGGCGAAACATCGCTGGACCCACATATCGAGCGAGGCGGCAACGAGACGGCAACGGTCGGCAACGTGGCGCAACCTCGTCGGACCCACCCATCGCACGAGGCGGCAACGTGGCAATTATCCCAGTGCGACCCTACCTAGGAGTTGGAGCCCCTAGGAAAGCAGCATTAGTAGTAACAGTAAAGCTAAACTAGCTAAGATAAAGCTAAGCTAAAGTGAAGCAAAAGCTAAGCTAAAGCTAAGCTGAAGCTAAGGTAAAGCTAAGCTAAAGCTAAGCTAAGGCTAAGCTAACACTAAGCTAAAGCTAAGCTAAAGCTAAGCTGAAGCTAAGCTAAAGCTAAGCTAAAGCTAAGCTAAAGCTAAGCTAAAGCTAAGCTAAAGTTAAAGCAACACATAAGCTAAAGCTAAGCTAAAGCTAAACTAAATCTAAGCTAAAGCTAAGCTGAAGCTAAGCGAAAGCTAAGCTAAAGCTAAGCTAAGGCTAAGCTAAAGCTAAGCTAAAGCTAAGCTAAAGCTAAGCTGAAGCTAAGTTAAATCTAAGCTAAAGCTAAGCTAAAGCTAAACTAAAGCTAAGCTACAGCTAAGCTAAAGCTAAGCTACAGCTACGCTACAGCTAAGCTAAAGCTAGGCTAAAGCTAAGCTAAATCTGAGCTAAAACTAAGCTAAAGCTAAGCTACAACTAAGCTAAAGCTAAGCTAACACTAAGCTAAAGCTAAGCTAACACTAAGCTGAAGCTAAGCTAAAACTAAGCTAAAGCTAAACTAACGCTAAGCTAACACTAAGCTGAAGCTAAGCTAAAGCTAAGCTAAAGCTAAGCTAAAGCTAAGCTAAAGCTAAGCTAAGGCTAAGCTAACACTAAGCTAAAGCTAAGCTAAAGCTAAGCTGAAGCTAAGCTAAAGCTAAGCTAACGCTAAGCTAAATCTAAGCTAACACTAAGCTAAATCTAAGCTAAAGCTAAGCTAAAGCTAAACTAAAGCTAAGCTAACACTAAGCTAAAGCTAAGCTAAAGCTAAGCTAAAGCTAAAGCTAAGCTAAAGCTAAAGCTAAGGCTAAAGCTCCCAGGGGACTGGGGGAACCGCGGGGCGGGGACTGGGGGAACCGCCCGGGACGGTTTCCATTGCCCGGCCCCTTTAGCTAACAGAGTAAGAACCCTTCTAGGCAGAGCCTAGGTAGGGAAAAACTCGTCATACCCACACGACGCACGAGGCGGCAACGAGGCGGTAACGGTCGGGAGCGTGGCGAAACCTCGTCGGACCCTCCCAGCGCACGAGGTGGCAACAAGTCTGCAACGGGCGGCAGGGTGGCGAAACCTCGTCGGACTCACACCCAGCGCACGAGGCGGCAACGAGGCGGCAGCGTGGCGAAATCCTGCCAGATCCACACGACGCACGAGGCAACAACGAGGCGTCAACGGGCGGCAGCGTGGCGAAACCTCGCCGAACCCACCCAGCGCACGAGGCGGCAACGAGGCGGCAACGTGGCGAAACCTCGCAGGACCCGCCCAATGCACGAGGCGGCAACGAAGCGGCAACGGGCGGCAGCCAGGCGGCAATGGGCAGTAACAAGGCGAAGCCTCGCAGGAACCACCCAGCGAACGAGGAGGCAACGAGGCGGCAATGGGCGGCAACGTGGCGATTCCTCGTCGGACCCATCCGAGTCCGTAGTAACCCAAGTGAGAAGCCCCAAGCAGAAACACAGCTTGGGGAGAAAGCGTAACGACTTTTAAGTGTAGTCGAAAGCCGTCGCTCTTTCGCGTAGCGGCTCAAGCTGCTGCCTGATTTCGAAGAAGGAACAGGCTTGTAAACATCGAAGGTGCGCGCGGATTTCTTGGCTCGTCCCTGGACCACTCTCCCTTGCGCCGTAGGCGCAGCCAGGGGGGTTCAGAGCCGAGGCAAGAAATAAACGCGGTCCTCCGAGCATTTCTGCTTGTGCCGTTCTTCCTGTTTCGAAGAGAGAAGATAAACAAACGCGTTCCACTACTCGCAAAATAGCTACTCGCAAATGGCCTGGATCCGCCGCAGGGGATCCACGATAAATTACATCGAAGCAGACAAGTGTGCTTCGGACGTTTGCAAGTAGGCACTTTGCGAGTGGCGGAACGCGCTCGGTGAGAGGAGAAGGAACAAGGCCGGCCTGTTGAGCAGTCGCGTGCGCCCGGGCCCGGCGCTGGCCCCGGAGCCCACGGTGGACGCAGAGGCCGTCCTCGCGGCCGCCTCCTGGTCGTCCTGCTCGGCTGCGTGTGGGAGCGGCCCTCCCTGAGATCTGGGCGTTGCAGTGCTTTTGCCTTCGGCGGGTTCGCCCGGTCTCGGGCCTCGGGTCGGGGATCTTCTGACTGAGCCAGGTCAATCCAGACCAGGGTCAGTCAGGCCTTGCAGAATCCTGCAAGATCCTGCAGGATCCTGCACCCAAGCCCGGGTCAATGCGACCCTGGCCCTGCAGGAACCTGCAGGGTTGGGCACTCTGGCTGGCCCCCGTCTCGAGGCTCCCGACTGGAACCGTCACACATCGTTCCGGATCGAAGAATGCTGCAGAAGGATGGAGTCCAGGGCTCCAGCTGTCACCCCTGGCGTGCGCATTTTTCGCAACGCCGGATCTCAGGGAATGCTCCTTGGTGCAAGGCGTGCCCATCTTTGCGCGCTGTGCGACAATGGCGGCCTGCCCTGGCATCCTCGCGTCGCAACAATATGATTTCCCTTACCGGGCCCTTCGAAAGAACGGTCGGGATAAAAAACGGGTCCTCAAGAGGGGAGGGGGAGGAGAAGGAGGAGGAGGGGGAGGAGGAGGAGGAGGAGGAGGAGGAGGAGGAGGAGGAGGATTGAGGAGGCTATGAGGTGAAGGAGGAGGAGGAGGAGAAGGAGGAGGAGGAAGAGGCGGAGGACGAGGAGGAGGAGGAGGAGGAGCAGCAGGTTGAGGATGATGATGGGAAGCAGGAGGGGGATTGAAGAGGCGAGTAGTAGAAGAAGAGAAAGTAGTAGTAGTAGTAGTAGTAGTAGTAGTAGTAGTAGTAGTAGTAGTAGTAGTAGTGGTA